CAATACTGAGAATGACGTTTGACATTGTTGCTTTGAATCTGGCTTTTTCGATTGTTGCTTCGAATCATATTTTGACATTCCTTTTCTGAGCATTTTGCAGCGAAATGACCGAATTTGCCGCAACTGTAACACGCGCCTTTTTTTACCTTTTTTCCGCCTTTTCTCTTTTCGTTTAAACTAGCACCATTTTTGTTGTTGTAGCTGCCGCTGCCGCTGCCCTTAGCCATGAACGCCTGCTGCACTATGTTACCGTCGATATCTTTTGCTGCCTTTCTGCGTTCTCCTTCTTCCAATAGCTTGATTTTAAATGCGTCAAGCGATGGTAAAGTGTCCCTGGATTCTATGGCCACAACAAAATTCTCGAATGCCTTTGGCAAACTGGACCTCAAAATTATGACCACAAGCTCATCACCCATTGTGATATCCACCTCGGACAATTTATCTACAGCTGCTGTAAAGTCATTTACGTACGTGCTGACATCATCATCTTCTTGCATGCGCATGGCTAGCAACTTCTTGTACAGTAAAACTTTTCGTACCGGACCACTTGGCTTGTAAATCTCTTCAAGCTTCTTCCAAGCCTCTGCTGCAGTCGTACAGTTCTTTACATGGTGTAATTGCGCCGGTGTTACACATAACGTTATTGTTGCTAATGCCTTTGCATCAGAGGCCTCCCATGCCTTAGCTGACGTCGAGTCACCGTCCCTCTTCTCAACAACGCTCCATAAATCCAAATGGATTAGGACGCTTTTCATCTGGACACGCCATATATCATAATTATCACGATCCAGCTTCTCTATTTGATACAAACTACTCGTATTTACCATAATTACGAATTTCAAAAAAGAAACTTTATTCTTTTCTTTAATGCGCGACTGGGACCATAACCTATTGGTTTGAAGTGCCAAAAAAGAAAGGAAAGTATATTTTCAAGCGCCAAAGTATGAAAGAGAATACATATAAGAACAAGTAGATAATAATACAGGGTTGCTTTAAAAAGAACATACAACTATTAGTATGTTGACATACATTTGGTTTGTCTTTCGAAAGGCAAGTATGATTTTCAACAAAGGTATCAAATTATTCGTAATTGTTTGAAGAATACAATACATACTCAAAAAGTTCTTAAAATTAAATGCTTCAAAACCTATACGCAATAAGCCGAAAATTTTGAAATTTGTGAAATGTGGAGCTACAGACTTTAAGTTACTTGCCATTTCGTTATTGTTGAGTGCACACTTTTCTTTCCTACTACATATGAAGTGTACACATAAGTGCTAAATGCCCATTTAATTTCAAATCAGAATATGGTATGCTTCAAAAGTTATGATATAATTAATTGTGCCCCTCTTAAAAATTACATAAAAAAATCACTTGTTTTCATTATTTTTTTTAATTTAAACACCGATATTTCAAAAGTTATGCAGCAAGTTGATCCACTTTTTTTTTGAGGCTTCAAGTATGCGTCAATGAATTATATCCAAAAGCAACCAGCTTGATTTAGTTTACAACAGTGAAAATAAAGCTAAACAACACAAAGGTTACCTGTTTTTTAGATTTGCCCATATAATAAAACGTGATTGGATAGTTTCGGAAACGCTGGCTCTCACAACATCGAACAGCAACAGCACACCTGTCATTAGAATTCCTTTTCCTATTATTCATTAAGTAATTTTGTTTTTCTTTCTCTACGGCTCTGCAGAATCGACGATCAGCGGTCAATCAAGAAACAGTTTTTTTTTGTTTTCTAGCTAACTCAGTTTTGTTGTTAACTCAGCGCTGATTTTATTGTCAACAAGTTTAGTTCTCTGTTAAATACGCGGATATTTTGTCGTCTCGCTACTTTCTGTACAATTTGTTTAATAAATGGATTGAATTGAACCCCCGAATTTAATTTAATTCGTCATTGCACAGACTTGCACAATCAATGATATTCGTAAATATACTTCAGTATTTAGTTGAATATTTATTTAAAGAACTTCGTGAAAGATAAAAATTAACCTTGTACTGCTAGAGTCTTGATAACCCAAAAAATTGGCGCCGTTTATGGTNTTTAATTCGTCATTGCACAGACTTGCACAATCAATGATATTCGTAAATATACTTCAGTATTTAGTTGAATATTTATTTAAAGAACTTCGTGAAAGATAAAAATTAACCTTGTACTGCTAGAGTCTTGATAACCCAAAAAATTGGCGCCGTTTATGGTGAAAGGCCTTTAGCAGGGACGTGAACCGGATGAAAAATTTTGTCGGTTCGGTTCAGCGGTTCGAACCGTTTTTGCACTTTTGGATTGGTTCGCCAAAGCGGTTTTTTTGGTCTTTGAACCGGGGTTTCGGTTCGGTTCAACGGTTCGAAAAACAAACAAGTAATAAAGTCTAAGTTCGGGCGGAACCGAACATTAAATACCCGGCGCAAGTATTAAATATATGATGTTCACCTTTCCGAAAGCCACCGCAACATGGTAAGCCGGGGTGTATCAATTTTGAGTAATTTAGCGTCCTTAAATTTCGAAATATTGAAGTTTCAAGCATTTCTGAAATTTACCGTTACATGAAAAGCGACCTCAATTTTAGTCTGATTTCAATAATTTTCAACGTTTTGCTTTTATTTGGCAAGCACAATAGCCATACCGAGTTTGCTATAAATTGGTTGACCGGTTGCCGAGAAAACGGCGGTGCCACGCCCGTTTTCCAAAATGTTATCATAAACGTATTTCTTCTGTCTGGGTACATTTATCTATTAAAACTTGGTTGAAGCGAACCTTTAACCTTTATGGAAAGTAGTTCGGTTTTCGGTTCGGATCAAACATTTGTGGAAAATTTCGGTTCGGTTAATGGTTCAGTTAATTAGTAGAAAAAAAGCGGTTTTACGTTTCAAAACCGGTTCGGTTCAAAACCGGTTCACGTCCCTGGCCTTTAGTATCACACTTTTAAACTAAAGCTTTCTTAACCCTTTCAGTATAAAATTTCCACCACTGATTCTAAAAATGTTAAAATATGTATACCGGCTAATTTTGTATCGTTCATTTCAAAAATCGCATCACCAAATTTGTAAAGCTTTGAGCTTTCCCGTCATTCAGGGTCCTTCATTATGGCCAGTGATATCTTAGGTGTTTAAAAAATGTCAACTATTTTTATTTTTTGCTTGCATAAAATATACATATTTCAAAACTATGAATAACACTGTGCCACTAAAACTAAAAAATTTCAGAACACATGAACTATGGGCCAAATACAGTAAACCTGCGTTTTTAGTTTTTGACTCTGATGTCAGCATTTTTTTTTCAAAGGACTTTGAAATTCTAAAGATATGATTGATTCAAAAAATTAAATAATATAATCAGTGCAATGTAGAATAACATTATGGGTACCAAATGAAAGAGAAAATTCTGTTGATTTTAAAAGCACAATCTGCCTTATCCTGAAGTTGGCCTGAAAAAAATTCACCCGAAAATTTGTCATCCAGCCATAGTAAAACCATGGAAACCCAAAGTGAAAAGTGATCGAGTTCGGGGAAAATGAAACTCACGATAAGGCTGAATAAAGTTTTTTGGTTTACAAGAACGAAAATGTGGTTTTAATAAATTTTATGTTTTCAAGCTAAAGTTTGCAGAACGAAATTCGAATCAAACAATCAATATTGGAAATTTTCAAGGATTTTTAAGGACAAAATTTTTAAAGGACTTTTGCTTACCCATTCGTCCCTATGCACCAAAATATTTATTCTGTTATAATTCTAAAGAATTTTTTCTTATATTTGATACCCTTACCTCTATCATACATTGCACTGAATTTTTTAAATAATTTTTTGAAATAATCATATGTTTTAAATTCCAAAGTCCTTTTAAAAAAAATCCTGACATCAGAGAGAAAAACTAAGTACGCAGTTATACGTGACTCAAACAAATGACCACGTGTTTTTTTTTTTAAATATTCGTAATGTTTTTCGAGCTAATTTTTCAAGCTTTAACAAAAACCACATAAATCACAGTTACAAGCTTTATACAAAATTTAGGAAAATTTTACTAATTTTCATCAAAAATTCATCTTTTTAATCTGATTCTTTAGAACATTTTTGGGTATGCTGATTTTCACTATGTCAAATTCAGTGGCATTTGTTGTCAAATAAGTGAAAACACATTGTAAAATGGGATTTAAAAGCAGTTTATCGACTGATTTGGATCCGGATAGGCCTTTAGTCGTGTACATGCGCTGCTAAATCGGCTATGTGTCCGTTTTTTGGCCTATAACATCATCGGTCAAGGTATGGATAAAGGAGAGAAAATTGTGTCAAAATGTGTCGCCAAATTTTGGAGTCAAAATATAACATAGTGAAAACCAGTCTTAATGAAGTGCAAGTTTAAAACGGCTAAAAAATCCCGTTGATTTCTTAAATTTTTTTTTTGTGACGGATTTTTCACTTTTTCATACAAACATGAATTTCTTATGAAACAAAATGCGGGAGACCGTTAGCAAAAAATTTCAAAAAATCAACGCCATTTTTTGTAAATTACACTTGTTATATAAAAAAAAACGCAAAAGTAAAACAATTATCAAAAATCAGCGCGATTTTTTAGCTGGTTGAAACTTGCACTTCATTAGACTATGACATTGTATGGGCTAGAAAACTGCATACCCAAATATGTTTTAAAGATTCAGATAAAAATTTGAAATTTTGTTGAATTTTCCTAAATTTTGTATAAAGGTTGAAACTGTGATTTATATGCTTTTTACTACCGGGCAAAAAATTTTGCTTTCAGTTGCCATTTCGTAGTATTGTATACTACATAGAAGGTAAACTTCAAAAGCTAGGGGGGGCTCGAGCCTCTCATCACATTTTTAATGTATTTTCGTTTGAGATATGGCGTTCTTCAATCAAATTCTGAAGCAGGGCGTTCTTTAATAGTTTTCTGAGATAGGGGAGATAGGGTTTTCTGAGGCGGTTCTAATTGTAATACGGGGACATACCCTGTTAAAATATATTTTTAATGAACTCACTTGAATTAGTTTGCTCAAGAGTGCCTCTTTGAAGTGCCGCTGCTGAAGTACTGCTTTCTGCTCTCTCGCACCATTCTTCATTATCTATGATCATCAAAGTTTCATTTTGTTTTAAATAATGCTCCAGGACTGCTTCACCACAAACTTCGGTTCCGTCGGACTCTAAGACTATTTTGGACCCTTTAATATCAAAATTAAGTGCTGTAAATATTTGGTTATTAGTATTTCAGATAATGTATATACAGATTTTTAAATACACCTGCTTGTATTAATGTATCCGTAGATGCTAAAGTCATAAACGTTTTTTTGGTACGTCTATCAGCGCTCCATACCTTGCACACGTACTCAGCCATTGCAATTATGTATGTACTTTATTATTTACGAATATATATATGGGTAGCTCTAACTATAATATACATGTTATATGTGCTTATTTATGCATGTAAGTATATATTTTAAGAAAAAAGCGTTATTTACATTAATTCTAATCTTTCTTTTCGACAAATGTTGAGAATAAAGAAAGATAATATTTATTTTTTACATACAAAACGTGAACTGGATTTTTAATTAGGATATCAACTAAGTTTATTACACTATACTGCATTTTCGCAGTTAGCGTCCAAAAATATTGAGTTAATTTTAAGGACTGTAATATTGCCCAGGTCGTCAGAATCAATGACAATGAAATGGATTTCTTTGTATTCTGTGCCATGGAATTTAATTTGTTTTGTAACGAGTGTAAAACTTGGGGATAAATTAAAATTAAACATGTTTTCAGAAATAAATTCGTAACTATTGCGAACAATTTTTAATTGAAATCTGGTTTCAAAAAGGTTGGCTTGCATTTGCTGATGTTTTTCAGAAAGAGTTAAAGATACATTTTTAAAATTTTTCATCGTTTTAGATATTTTTTAAAAANTAAAATATTGATGTTTGTGTTCAAAGCGCATGGTCCATAAATGTTTAAGGGGACCATATCCTCTTATCAGATGTGAATAGTGACATATGGGTGTTTCCATGAAAATGTCAACCAGGACTGAAAAAATAAAAACAACTGAAAAGGGTTTTTAAGACGAATTAATAAGAGTAAAATACTCGAATTTTTATATTATAGAAGTATTTCAGCTTATTGCAATTTTAAAACTCAAAAATTGAAGAGTAAAACTGAGTGTCTCTTCGACTCAGTTTTCTCTAATGAAATGAACTATTTTCTCTTTCCTATTAACTAAATTAACAGATTTGAAACATTACAATTACATCTTAAAATTAAATTTGCAATAACAACTAACTATAAAAATGAGGAAAAGGAGAAGTTAGAGCTCGGTTAACGGTAATTTTTTGATTTGCTTCTGATAGTATTCTAATGTCGCGTACGTTATGCAAAAACATTGTTTGTCTATGTCATTTGTATATTGGCAGTCGCAGGTAATGCAGATTACAATTCTTAAGCGAGAATTCTTCCAGTTAAAGATATACAGTAAAATTTTCTTTCCAACCGAAGTAAAACAAATTTTATTACCCTTTAAAGTTTGTCGCATACGTTATTGTAAGTACGAAAATTTCAATCAAATACATCAAAACCAATGTTAATTGCAAATTTTCCATTTAAATTATTCAAAATAGTTGTAAAACAATGAAACGGTGGCGGGAAGAGTTCTCAATAAATACATTTTATTACTTACGAGAAAAATTGTCGCGTACGTTATGTGGCGTACGTTATTGTTTTTTTTTAATATAAAACTAGCCAGAGATAATTTCTCTTAAAATATGAAAGGATTGTAAAGGTACCTTATTTAGCTTAGTTTAGGAATGTTTAAAGAAAAGAAAAACTCCCATGATTCGCAGACTTTCGCATATATGCGTGTTTCCATGAAAATGTAAACCGAAAATGCAAGCAAATGAATTCAAACGGCTTTATAACTTTAAATTTCGTATTCAGATGGCGGAAAAAGGTTTTGAAAACGCGAAACGGTGGAGAGAAGAACTGAAAAAATTTAATTTAGTATGTGTTACTAGTAAAAATATTGTATGGGGGAAAAATATGGCGCGTACGTTATGTCGCGTACGTTATTATAATTTTTTTTAATAAAAACTAATCAGAGATAATTTCTATCAAAAAATGGAAGGATTGTAAAGGTACATTATTTAGCTTAGTTTAGGAATTTTTAAAGAAAAGAAAAACTCTCATGATTCGCAGACTTTCGCATATATGAATATGTGCCTTAAAACCACTTCTTTTTTTGTCGCGTACGTTATCACCTGGTTTTGAACGGATATTTTCCACACCAAAGTTTCGAGGCTGCTTATTTTTTTCTCAAAAATAGTACCCTTTGGTTGCAACATAACCGTAATCTTTTTTTTCTGTAACTTCTATTTTTGATAGATTTATGTCACTCTATAAGCGTACGAATGTCGCGTACGGCTGTATGGAAACACCCATATACAATGATGTTTTGGTCGCAACTTTGAAAGTGGAAAACATTCTCTTCTATATTCCATATATACTGTGATACAATGTGAAAGTAAAGAGATTTGATTTTCATCTAAATCAGAGCTGTTTATCAACCTACACATTTCAATAATTACAGTGAGAAACTTCCACACCGGATCTTTATTTATCGATGACTTGTTCAAAAATATGAAGGGAAATATCATTAAGAAATGTAGGATTTCATCGGCCTTTCCTGGATTTTTTTTTCATATTGAGATTAACATGTGGGAAAGACAGTTTTAATTTAAAATTTGTTTCTCAATGATGAAAGGCTCGTATTTATGTAATCAATTGAAATAACATCTTGTATACACATATATTTACACACTTCCATCAAGTCGTGGGGTATAATACCCTCAAATAAATCGTGTGATATGCAGGGAGGAAGTCCATCACAAACATGAAAGTAGCCTAATTCATTTAAACATGAGTCTTTTTTTATTCCCATACCAAAATCAGGAGAATTTGAAAGGTTATTTAGGCATGCTTCATAGTTTTGGCGGGTACGCTTTTCACCGATATTTACATTAAAAGATATTAAATTTTCTCTCTTGAACAAACAATATCGACACATAAACTGAAGTTTTCAGTGTAGCCGCCTATTTGGTGGCTGCCTAAATTGTCACCAAGCATTGAAAATAAAGTTCCACGATAGTTCTGGTTAGAACCGTCTAAAAGAAAGTCAATTCCGTTTTCTTCTAGTTTTCGTAAATCGCATATTAAAGGAACCATAATTTTTTCAAATCCGAATAACTTTATGTAAGTATCTTTACAAAGCAAAACTAATTGGATATTATGAATATTTGATCTAAATTCTTTTGGAATATTTCCAATCATCATATAAACGCCTAGCAACTTGTGCTTCTTTTTAGACGAAGCTAAAGGATTGCAGTTTTCGAAGGCATCCTGAAATAAAAGCAATTCAATTCTGTTTAAATTTTCATAGAAAAACGGAATAACAATTCACATTTGACACTTTTTTGCTACTAAAAAGTTTAAAAACTATTTTGCCACCCAATAGAACTTCAAGTGTTTTAAGAATTGGAATATAATGAAAAATACATTTTTTGTGATATTGATCAAAACCAAGATGAATTTCTTTCGGAGAAACGTAATTATTTTTATTTCTTAAGAAATTATTTCTTTTATAAGCCGACTCAGATTTAACAATTTCGGAAATTAAACTTTTGTTTGATACCGCACTTGTAAACATTTCTTTGTATTCTGACAAATTAAGAGTATCACATAAATCAAAAATTGTATTTTCTCTTTTCTTTATCATGGGATTCTAAAATATCTTTTAACTCAATTACAAAAGAATCTAAGGCAATATCGTTGACCCCAAATTTAAATTTCAATGTTGCGAAAAAGTTGTCAAAGGATTTTGAGCTAGAGCTTTGAGGGTTATCCATTAAGCGTTTCTCCAAATGCGTGGTTTCTTCATTGGAAGGAGTATCAAGTGCCTCCTGATCTGATGGCTTTCCTCCTTTTACCCTTTTATGCTTTCTGAAAACGTGCATCTTAAAACAACCAGAGTTTACGAAAGATTTAGAACAGTCAAAGGGGCAAACAATCAAAGTTTTGTTAAACAAATGTATCTGTATGTGAGAAGTCATATCTTTAACACTTTTTGTTTTGAAAATATAAGCCGAACATTTGTAGTCTACATTTGCGTTATTTTCACAATCTTTTACAGCACTTTTGTGATGTCGGTACAAGTGCACATAGAATGAATAATAATTCTGAAATGTTTTTATGCATCCTGGTTGCAAACACTTAAATTCAACACATTTATCATTTTTGTGCAAATACAGGTGCCTATTATAAGATTTAATATCATTTAAACTAAGGTTACAAATCGTACACAGTAACATACCAACGTCTTTTACAATAATATAGCACAGAAATTGATTATTTTACGCTTATTTACACTTTTATTTTCCCGACGCCACAGAGCAACACACAATTTCGCAATAAAATCTTCACCGCGTTGTTAGGAGTGCAAATTTTTTACATCGCGAATATGTGCAGTATATCGAAAGATTTTTTCGATACCTCAGCCTAAAGCGGCGAATACACGAGGAACATTGTTACAAACACAAGTTTCAAACATGCAATGCTACAGTCAATGTTACCCATGTGTGGGCAGTCATTGCGTCATATAAAATATATAAACCATTTTAACTTGGAACGTACAAGTGTTTTATCGATTATATCATTAACTTTGAAATTGAAAGCATACCTTCGCTAACCTCATTTCGATAGTTCTGTTGAGCAAAGAACCGTTATATCTAATTCAGCTGCTGTGGTGTGCGTAAATTTACTAAGAAAGTTTAATTTCACCCGAAAAAAAATTCATATTTATCGTGTAAATTTACGAAAAAATTGCAAAAATAAACAAAAATATACTCGATTTATAGTCGCACTTTTAAACAGACTTTTTAGAGTGTAATTTAGCTGCTGTGGTGTGCGTAAATTTTACTACGCTAGTGTGTACAAGCCACAAAATACACATCTGTTGTTTAATTTCACCCGTAGAATTGTATAAAGTCGCCAAAAAAAGGATTTTTACACACGAAAATGTGTAAACGTGAAAAATACATATTTATCGTGTAAATTTACGAAAAAATTGTAAAACCAAACAAAAATATACCCAATTTTTTTTAAACAGACTTTTTAGAGTGTAGAAAGACTAGTCAATGCATAAAATTATTTTAGGTTAACAAAAGTTATACGGAGCTAAGCTTTACATCAAAAGTCATTTGTGTATTACTTAAAACTTACTTGTTTATGTCAATGTTATTGTGGCTTGTTAACATTTTTTATTTTTAATATTTTTATTGAGCTTTGTACCACGATTGTTTATTAGGAAAAATTTAAAAAGCAACAAAGTTTAAGCGGTAGAAGTTATAGCACTATTTCGGAGATCACCACATCTCCTCATCAGACTTCTTTTTTCTAGACTTCAGCAGGGATCGAACCTGCGAATTCGATGTTCAAAGTCAGAAGCGTTAACCACTGAGCTATGTACATCCCGTAAACTCTTGTTGCTAATTCATTTTCCTTATTCAACCAACTACTATCAAGTGCAGCTGATTTGCCGCTAATCAGCGACGATGTGAGATAGGGCCTTTCTATATTAAGGTAACGATTTGCTTATTTGCTTTTTTGTATAGTTTCAGGCAGGCTCTTCCTAAACTATGTATTTGTCAATGTTATTGTGGCTTGTTAACATTTTATTTTTAATATTTTTATTGAGCTTTGTACCACGATTGTTTATTAGGAAAAATTGAAAAAGCAACAAAGTCTAAGCGGTAGAAGTTATAGCACTATTTCGGAGATCACCACATCTCCTCATCAGACTTTTTTTTTCTAGACTTCAGCAGGGATCGAACCTGCGAATTCGATGTTCAAAGTCAGAAGCGTTAACCACTGAGCTATGTACATCCCGTAAACTCTTGTTGCTAATTCATTTTCCTTATTCAACCAACTACTATCAAGTGCAGCTGATTTGCCGCTATTTAAACTCGACAGCGTGGTTGTTGTTGTCAATTCTATACATCCATTTGCTTATTTGCTTTTTTGTATAGTTTCAGGCAGGCTCTTCCTAAACTATGTATTTGTCAATGTTATTGTGGCTTGTTAACATTTTATTTTTAATATTTTTATTGAGCTTTGTACCACGATTGTTTATTAGGAAAAATTGAAAAAGCAACAAAGTCTAAGCGGTAGAAGTTATAGCACTATTTCGGAGATCACCACATCTCCTCATCAGACTTCTTTTTTCTAGACTTCAGCAGGGATCGAACCTGCGAATTCGATGTTCAAAGTCAGAAGCGTTAACCACTGAGCTATGTACATCCCGTAAACTCTTGTTGCTAATTCATTTTCCTTATTCAACCAACTACTATCAAGTGCAGCTGATTTGCCGCTATTTAAACTCGACAGCGTGGTTGTTGTTGTCAATTCTATACATCCATTTGCTTATTTGCTTTTTTGTATAGTTTCAGGCAGGCTCTTCCTAAACTATGTATTTGTCAATGTTATTGTGGCTTGTTAACATTTTATTTTTAATATTTTTATTGAGCTTTGTACCACGATTGTTTATTAGGAAAAATTGAAAAAGCAACAAAGTTTAAGCGGTAGAAGTTATAGCACTATTTCGGAGATCACCACATCTCCTCATCAGACTTCTTTTTTCTAGACTTCAGCAGGGATCGGCGGCTCCTAGACCCGTACATTTGTCAAGCTTATTTTTACCTTACTTAGTTATGTACATACAGTATATTTTGCTTTGCTGCCTCTATGCTTAAGTGCACATTTAAGATACCTACCCCAAAATGCGCATCAGAGGCATTATTTTTAACATTTATAAGGAAACTGCTCCGATAAATGCATTTAGCATACCTGCACATTGGCGATACCTGCCTTAAAAAATATGCGACTAGTATCAATTATCAAAGAAAGTATTGCGTTTACCTGCACTGGCCCTACAATTACCTAATTTTAAAACTTTTTATTTATTTTGTTCATCTCGCAGACCAACGAAAATGGCTATAAATTTATGTAGTTATATAGATAATTAGATACTATTCGGTAAAAATTTCGCTTGCAGTAATTTCTACGTGGTAAGTGCTTCTCCATTATTTGCTTTCATAGAGATTTGGATACCTTCCTCATTGAAGTAGTAAAGAAAATTCGCTTAAGTGCCTTTTTCGGTTAAGTGCACAAGTTTTTCGTGCAAAGAAGGATGTGCAGCTAAGCAAAATATACTGTATACATATATACTTATAATAAATACGTGTATGCAAACGAGTGATGTATAAAAAGTCTACGTCAGCATTTTATTTTCTGCAACGATTTTTCACTTCCGAATGCTTTATTAAAACTATAAAATATGCGAATTTTTTGCCATTTTTTCTTTTGAGGGCGTAAAAGTCCAACGGACCTCAGATTCGGGTTAAACGGGTCGAATTACAAAGCAGACATCACTTTTTTTGTGTTCTATGTATAATATGTTCTTAAATATCTATATGCTGTCTGCTTTTTACCTGGAAATCTTATTTTAAGTATAAAAACCAGCAAAAAAATGTATTTACTGCCGTCAAACGCCGTTTTCGTAAATGGTAGGAATGAAGCCATTTTGGTAGATATTTTATTCAGCTCTTGGTAGGAAATAAAGTTTTTCAGTGTCAACCCTGATTGCAGTATTGCTTAGTCGGAGGGAAATATTTTCAGAAAGGGCAGAGGAAAAAGGGGCAACATTACTTCGAGGAAAGAAAACGCTATTGATTTATATCGAATGAGTCGGTCGCAGTGGTCCGAGGCTTCGGCACGGATATTTCATTCTTTAAATTTTTAATAATTTAATTTTAAATTTTATTTTGATGTGCATATATGTATGTATGTATGTATTCGAAACGTTCCCGTTGTCAATGACCTGCTCACTCTCTGCAACTGCCTATCAGAGAGCAATAATAAGTAACAATAAAGTATGTTGGCATTCGGTTCATTCCCATACAACCCGGTTCGGATTCGGTATTTATAGAGTAAGCGAAAATTTTTCTCTCGAAAATGGAAAAATGCCCAGAAGGATGGGAACACAAAAAACCAAATTTCGTGCCCAGAATTTGAAAAATAGCTGATTCACGTGTTTTTTGTTGTTGACACTTAAATGCAAACACTTGGAAATTAAATTTTGATTTCACAAATTTGATTATATTAAAAAATAAGCATATATAAAGAACTAAAATACATGAAAACACAAAAAGCTGATATGCACTTTGACACTTTATCCGTTTTTACCTGGAGAACAAGTCCGGGATGTTTCGGAGGAAAAGAAGACACTTACGATGAAATTGGGATCCCCCGGGAAGCCGCGTTGAGTACGGGAAGGAACCTATTGTGATACAATTATTCACAGGTACTAATTCTGCTCGTCGAGCAAAAATTTGAACGAATTTGTACGAGCTCTCATTGTTTTTGTTCAAATTGAGTTCGTGCAGCCAAAAAATTATCCATCACTCAAAAATTTTCAGCGCGAATTGGGTTCTCTTGAAGAGAAGTTGCAAATTCCAGCTGGAAAAAATTTTGCCAGCAAGAATTTGCAATTAGGAAAAACATATGATTGTGGCACATGGTTGCATTTTTTGTCGTTAATAATTCGTTAAGTTTAAAAATTTACAGACTTGAGCGATTTTAACATGAAAAATGTAACTAAATGTACTTGTTTATTTAATTAATTTAGTTAATTCCAATGATTTGGAAGGTACTCAGCTGAAAAAAACCGTATTCGTAATCGGAATGCAATCGCAACCAGAATCGATTTAGGAAACGCGACAGATACTAAGAAAGTCGGAATAACAAGAAATATACAAGGTGATCCTGTTTTTGACCCTCTGAAAGAATTTTAAAAATTCTATAAATTGCATTATGTTTGAAATACAACCGTGGATACCAGCGGAATTCATACAAATTTGCGTTCGTGCAGAAGTTTGCAAGTTTCTCTACTTGAGAGAGAATTCTGACTATCTGATATTTTGAGTGATAGTTCTCACTGGATTTTCGAAGAACAAACCTATTGCTTTACATAGAAATTCGTGCCTTTTTATCATGGTACAATAATTACAGGTATTGTCTTCCCATAGAGTTTTGCTTCACATCGAAATTCGTGCTCCCTTATTTTAATTTTTACGCAGTTCAGTGTTGATTCTTTTACTTTTATTTGGCATTGCTTTTTGTTTTCGCACAATTTATTTTTTATAATTTTTCAAAACAAAAGAAAAAACGTTGGAAATGAAGTGAGCCATACAAATTATGAATATATTTACAAGCAAATGTTCTGTTCCGCCTTTTGCAAATTGAATAATTTCCCTGCAAGAAGGTTTGTTTAAAAAAGTACGTAAACATATATGGTATATGGGGCATGGAAATATCCCTTTTCCCTAGCAGTAAACCTTTTAGTGTGGGCAACAATGATACTTTTTAAATAAGGTGGATCGGAATATGCGCTCTCTGGGAAGACAATACCTGTAATTATTGTATCATGTCTTTTTATTGTTTAG